TTTAAACAGGAGATCATCTTAATCAGCAAGTCAGCTTGGCTATGTGATACGACCCAGACAGAATCCAAAGATCATCTGGCCTGCTCTCAAATAGCCAAACATCAGGACATTACACAGGGTTTTATTTTCCTATCACCTCCCTCCTCTTGAACGAACTGCTATAAAATCTAGTGAGCCCGGCGCCTAGGGCAGATATTTTAGGTCAGTTTCTTAAGAAGAGAGAAAAGACTACATTTAATTAGACACAGCACTTTCTCTTCTGCATTAGTTTACTCTTCACCCGACACAGAACTGTGGAATGAGCTCCAGTCTGTCCTGTGAACGGCAAAGAGAAGGGTGGTGGTGGGAAGGGCATTCATGGGAGACACGGAATTACCTCACACCAAACTGCCCAAAGAACCGAAGTCAGGGGAAGCAGATCCTTAGGAAAAAAAGACCTTTTGGATCCCGGATGGAGTAAGCTGGATCTGGGACCCTTACTGCTGTGAGCTGCCATCAAGTCGGCTCTGACTCATGGCGACCTTACAGCTGACCTTGTCAGCTCCTTCTAGCTCTTTATGTAGAGCTGCCGTTAACACTGTGAAAACAGATGAGTGTCTGATTCCTATTTGGAGCCCTTGGGAAGAAGGCATTGTGGTCCACAGACACTAGGTATTCTTTTATTCCAGATCAAATGAATTGAGTTTTAGATCATTATTTACTCTACAGACTCAAAATTACATTATTCTAGTCTGCTACTGGGATAACGTATGTGACCGTACCAGGAAGTGCTACTGCCCTGAGCCACTGTGCCGCCAACGGTAATAAGACCACTAGTAATGTAGCAGCAATACCAACGACACTTTTCAGTCCGCTGGACGCACAGGGAAAAGGTAGCTATCAGGTTTTAAACCATGGGAAGAGAACGGAATTGGGACATAAGGGGGTCATAACTGAAAAGGAACATTGCTCATCAAGAATTCGGAGTTGCTTTGCCAGGCTAACAACTTCAGCTTCTTCCCAATTATGTTTGTTAGATTTTGCCAAAGTATATAGCAGAAGCATCAGCCACAGCAGTACCGCCCAAAACAAGCCCAGTGCCCTCATGCGAAGGCCAATCCGTTAAAAACCTTTCTCCCAGCGTTTGTGGAGGAGCTTCGTCTGATACCACATGAGAGGGAAGAGAATCTTCAAATAGGACCACCATGGGGACGACCACCAGGCAGACAGGCTTATTATCGGGAAGCCACCTAGTAGCAGAAGTGAATTGCTTTGAACATTGTCCAGCCACCAGCCAGCCAGCTAGCCAGCGCTGAAATAACACTTGTATTTCTCTGTAGCCCGTAGGGAAGTTCCGTTCACTTGTGGAATTGGGTAAGGGGTGGGGAGCAGAAATATCACTAGACAAAATTCAGACTGGAGAGCTCGGCTCAATATAGAATACACATGGACGACTCAGGTGGAATACACCTACGGAGCACAGGTCTCCATACACAGACTGGAGAGCTCGGCTCA